CATTGAAATTCTGGTTTCGGTACCACGCTGTAAACATGTTCATTTTCTTGCTAAAGCTGGAACTACAGTTTGGCACTTCCACCTTGGCTTCCTCTTTCACCCCTGAAAGTTACCACAAGACGTTAATACGTTAAACCTGATTGACTAAACTCTACAGCTCTTGCATAAACCTGCTTAAACAGTTGTGTTTAACTAAATAAAATGTCAGTCAAAATGTGGGCATGTGTATATCAGCTGTTCCTGATAAAAGTACACACGGTTAGTTTTGTGCAAACTAAAACGGCTGTGCTGGCGCTGTGTTTTGGTACTACAGAGGTTAAACACAGCATCTGCAGAGCCTGCCAGCATCGTTTATGATGTGTTGGACTGACTGACTAAAGCCCTGCTAAGTCCTGATGAATATGAGCTGTAACGTAAAAAAAATTAACTTTCCTTATTACACAGACCTGTTCCTATTTTGTTATGTACATTTCCATCACAGCAGTTTTGTCGCTCTTTTGTATACAGTCAGGAGGCAAGAGACTCAGCACTACGCTGATATGGTTGTTTCAGATGCTGCTTTGTATCATAATATTTTCCAGGTTTGACCTTTTACCTCCTACTGGGGCAGTCTGGATTAGTTAATGCCCAAATATTTTTAAATTGCCCAAATCATTTTTCTTCTAGAACGCCCATCACTTGTGACCTTTGTGAGGTTGAGCTTGCCAATGGGCAGGAGCTGCAGGATCATTTGGACAGTAAATGTCACTGGGACACCCTGGAGCACATTCAGCAGAATAATAAATACGATGACGTAATGATAGCGTTCCTTCAGGTACGATCACTGACAGAAACGGTAAAACGAATTTCCCAGTCATGTATTCTGGCTTCTGTATCCTAAGTTTGCACTCTGCATGTATTATAGATCCATAGATAGATGTCCAACAGATCTTTTCTTTTTTTTTTCAGGAAGTGATGCTGTATAGGAGCCATTATTGTAGCCAAGCGGTAGAGGACAACGCTCTTCAAAGTAAATACATGTTTTGAAATGAAAAGTCATGATGTTCATGACAGACTAAAAAAGAAATACTTTCATCTCACTCACCCCTATCGTGTTGTCAGCTCTACAGGAAAATAACCACATGACAAAGGTGGAAATGTTTCATTGTGCCGCTTGCAAAGTTTACATATCCACATCTGTTGCTGAAGTGCAGGCTCACATCACCTCTGAGGAACACCTCTCTCGCACAAAGGTAATGCTGCTGTCCTACAAGTGCAATAACACAGATGTGTTTTCATCAAATATCCTTTTTGTTTACTGTAATTGTTTGACTTTCCTGAAGGAGTTTGAAGTGCATAGGAGACATGCTTGCCTCAGCAAAGCAGAAGCCATGATGAAGGAGCTCAAACCACAGTTTGAACACTTCCTGAAGGTATTTTGCAAGAGATTTCCAAACTATCTAGAGTGTACACAGTGTGCTGGCAGAGCTGCTTAACATTAATCTACCAAGCCAAAAAAAGCAGCTGGGGCTAAGACTTTTAATATTTAAACAGTCGTTTTTACAAAGTGGTTATTTTGACCTAATATTTTCTTAAGTTGTCCAATTGTGGACTAAGTGTACTCAAAATTCAATCTTCTACATGATGCTTCTAAAACGAGTACCTGAAGCTATCCAGTGTTTGGACAATAATAGGATTTTGGTAATTTTGCCTCTGTTTATGATGGCAGTGGATTTTGAGTGAAACTATGAAGATCTGAGGTTTCAAAGGTTTTAACAAAAGTATTGTGTCCGCTTTTTAGGAATTACAGACATTTTCAAGAGGCTCAAAAGTAACACGGCAATTGATTGACAAGGAGTTTCATGGCCAGTTTTGAGGCCTGCTCCCTGTTTACTCCATGACAAATTAACCAGGTGAAAGATCTGGAGTTGGTTTCAATTGTTGCCTTTTTGTAGGCGTTCACTGGAATTCTAAACATGAGGTCCAAAGAGTTATCAGTGTTAGAGACGGAGGTCATCTCTTAGGGTGCCAAACAGAAATAAACCTTTCAGAGAGATAACATAACAAAAGGCAAAAAGAGAGAGTGGCTAAATCAACAGTCTGTTGGAGAATTCTTTCCTTGTTAAAAAAAAAAACCCTCTCATGTAGCCAAAGCTAGTCAGGCAATGAAGTGAAGAAAGTCTGATATCAAAATTCATCTTGTAAATACAGAGGATTTGCAACAAGGTGCACACCACCAGTTACGGTCAAGAACAGACAGCTTCGAATAAACTTTGCCAGAAAGAGTCTGCACAGTACTGTAGAAGGTTAAATTTGCAGTTTTGTTAATACTTATTTGTAGCTTCCACACCAAAATTTGATACATAAAACCCCCCGACTTGAATACAGAAGTAATTTGAAAAACATTAGCTTGCTTCTTTGTCTTTTATTTAGTACAACTGGAAAGGAATCTTTTGACAGATTAAACCAAAATGAACTTAAAGAACAATAATGGGAAGAGAAATATATGGGCAAGGAGAGAAACAGCTTATCCAAATCAAATGTGGTTGTGGCAGTGTTAAGATACGGGGATGTATGGCTGCCTGTAGTTTTTATTGATGAAATACCTACTGATAGAAGTATCAGGACGAACTGTGAAGTGCACACGGCTATACTCTCTGCTCTAATTTAGACAAATGCTGCCAAACTGCTTAGACAGCATTAGACAAAAGCAACCCAAGAGTATTAGTCACCTGATCTCAAAACAACAAAGCATGTTTTTCAGGTAAAACTGACAACAAACAGGTAAAGACCCACAATTAAGCAGGATCTGAAGGCAGCTGCTGTAAAGGCCTTGTACAGGATCTCAAGGGAGGAAACAAAGTATTTGAGGACGTCCATGGGTTTCTAGACTTCAGGCAGTTATTGAGTGCAAAGGATTTTTATCCATGTATTAAAAACAATCCTTATATTTAGAGTTTGTCCAGTTACCTTTGAGGCTCTGTAGATGGAAGTCTGTGTATGAAACTGGTTCTATTTCCTAAACACTTGAGGCATAATTTTTGTTAAACCCAAGCTGAAAGTCTTCACTTTATATTTGGGCCTGGTATTATCACTTTCCTTATGTTTCTATACATTTATCCAGGATCTCTGGGCTACTTGGATCTTAATCAGTTATACAGATGTCATCTACTGCATGATGTATTTTGATATTTTTAAGTAATATGAGACTATTGGGTAGATGCGAATGATTTTTTTTACTTACCAAATTTAATGAGTTCAAACTTAATACTAAAATGAATTGGCTATTTTTTAAATAAAGATAAAAATCAGTTCTTAATGGGGGACAGTTCATATGCAGAAGATATTCATGATTCATATTAGTTCAAATAAGTAAAATATGTCTTATTAGTGTGTAGGTAAGTGCAGGGAATGTAATCTTCTGTCTTGCAGAGTTAACTTTAATGCACTTTTGTGTGAAGTGAGACATCAAAGCCAAATTGAAACGCAACATTGTACATAAAAGTCAGCAACAAACTTTATCTTTATGTATCAAGTGAAACGTAACTGAAGCCATAAATCTTATTAATGCATTTGTTTTCACTCTCCGTACACTAGCTTGATTAGTAGAAGCAAATGATAGCCTGCGGAGCTAGGAGTAATTACTAGTAATTAAAGTGTGTGCACTCAGCATGTCTGGAGCTCTACAGATGTAACTAAACGAATTCTTTTCTTTCAGGGTGGCAGCCCATTCGAATGACAGAACTTACGTGAAGTTGTCATGAGACTGTTTACACTGAGATGCTGCGGATGAAGAGCAGTCGACTTTACTCTTCATTACCACACAAAACTGCTGTCCCAGTACTCGTGTCTAATGCTGACAGACATGCTGTTGTGGGCCTGTGAACACAATGCAGCTTTTCTTTGTTTATATACGGATTCCCATTTCTCATCTGCCTTGC